AGATTCTGCTCGATCGACTGGTGTGAAGAAATTGATATGTTGCTGGTCTCAGCTGAGAGTACTGGAAGTCAGAAAAATATATATTTTGTCCGGCAATTTTGCCTAATTAAGGAAATATAGCCGTTTTGTTAAATCTATTTCAAATCTATAGGAGTTCTATGTTTAAGTCCATCGTACTGTCAGGTTTGCCTAGTTGTACAGTGGCTTCAGTGTGCTCTTAATAATCGTTTGCAATAACTTTGCTCAGCCTTGCGTGGATGTCATGTACAGCGTATTTTATTACACTGAAGATTTAGAAGTACTTTGCGTAATTACAATATAATCGAAAATTTAATCGCTGTGTCATGCTGTAGGTATCGGGCATTCGTTTCACTCATTCAGTATTTCTCTGCTCTCGATCTCCATATGATGAGGTCAATCGGTGCCTTTTTAGCCAAAATCTAATATTATGTTGTTTCACCACAAAATCTCTTACTTTTCTTGCTTTGTGATGTAATCAACAGCTGTGAAACTACATGATATAATTTATTGAAAGTGAGAAGCGATGACGGATGATGCGGTGATGAATGACTGGAAATGTGATTTAATTCGTCTGTATCTCAATCATGCATGTTCGCAAGAATGACTGCATTAAAGTACGACTGAAATTGCATGCAGAAAAGCATCTAGTCTGATGATGATGCAGAAAACCGAGTTCGTTAACGCTTTCTGTGGCTCCTCACTCATCCAGCATCCCTCTTACGTGCCATGTCAATGATTATTTCTGAGCATTAGTAGTCTTTCTGCATTTCGGCAGATTTAGTATTGATATTTGTTTTAATATTGTTCGGATATTGCATTCCAATTTTTTGTTGACTCCCTTGCAATCCCTTGTAAACCATCCTGCTTTGCATTTCTTTTATTTTGCTCAAATTTATTGCATTCCCATTTGACATCATATGAGTGGTGTTTTAGATGTAGCGCTTATGTAGATCATGCGACTAGATATCTCTGAACGTTCAAGTATGTGATTCGTGCTGTTTGATAACGAACTAATCATTTGTTATTCGATAAAGCGAGATAGCGGACATGCAATTAGCTTAGATTAATCGCTTGGGATTGAATTGGATTGGCTATACAATACCACAACTGGTGTCCTTTATTGCTTCCAGTTACTATCATTTATCGGCAATATTGTAAACCATACTGCTATTATCGTTATTGGAAAGCTCATTTATTGAAGAACATAACCGAGAGAAACAACAACAGCAAATTATGAAAGGAATTGTTGAGTATTTCAAAAGTGAAAGGTTGAAAAATAATGACAGAAATATTTAAATGGAAACACGTACAAAAAAACGTTTATATTCATTTTGAAAAGTGATATATTCTGTGAAAATACCGTAATGAACGACAACAATAAATGAATGAATACATGAACGAAGAAATAAATTTTCAATAAATTTCCTTAGTTAATAAATACACCAAATCGCATCATTTGACTCATTCGATTGAGAGGAAATTATTGAGTGATCACCGGAAACGAATTTACTAACATCCCTTTCCATTCAGAGTGGTATCTATGGATCTGAGTTCCTTCACCTTAGTAGATAGGATGATATTCGATGCTTTGTAATATCGCGTCATTGATATATGCCTTCTGGATTCTGGAGAGAGGGGAGAACGCAAAAGTAGAATTTTGATAGATAATATATGACGAGGGTGTTTCGCTTCTGGATTATGAACAGGGAGAACATTTGCTGATGAACTGAGCAGATATCGCAGAGTTCGTTTCGGATTTTTTTGATACTTCATAAAAATTCTGCAGTGTTCCACCACTCTGTTCAGAGAGACTAAACATCAATCAAATATCGTTCGTTTCCCTTGCATATAACTGATTTTGTATGTGGATTACGGATTTCAATTTTTTTTGAAAATACC